TGTCGCAAGGTTCTGTTCGCTGCAACCTTTCACTCTACCGAATTAAAGGAAGTGACTACAGAAACTTCGCGCGATCGTAAAGCTACTGTCTATCTTTTCCGGAAAAGAATATGCTGCGAGGCCACGGCTCACGATTTGTCAACATCTACAGGTACAAGTCAAAGACGCTAAACATGCTCTGCCCACCCGCATGCCAACAGAAAACCCTCGCAAAACATCGACCCGATATAGGGAGGGTCTCAGGCCGAAAACCCTGTCGATCAGATCGACGCGACGAACTGCGAATTCCAGCGACATGCCAACTGCAACGACTCCAAGCTCGACGTCCGCTCACCTCTTTGTCGCACGAGCGCAGAGCTGACAGGGGCATGGGCAGATGACGACTGAATGATTAAGTTTAAGAGACACAGCTTCAAACTGCACCGTGCCTCCTGCTGATGTTCAGCACCGCCAGGCTCGTGTGCTCGAGCTCCTCCAGCGCTGGCAGCCAAGATTCCTTGCATTCATGGTCTTGCAAGTTCGCTCAAATGCTGTGGCAGCGATGTCGCCTAATGAAGGTCGCTGCAGACAGTAAGACATCTCGAGATCACGAAAGAAGCATAGAAATGGAGCTTTGCGTGACTTTCGACGAGAGTTCCGAGGCCGGTCCGTTCTGCTGCGGTTGCTCGGTGCCAGGAAGGCGGGTGCCCGAAGGGCGAGGGATGCATAGGTTGCCGGAAATCGGAGTAAGCTCATCGTCGCTGCGCTCAATTTTTGTTGCGGCTGTGTTTGCACTGTGTGGCAAGAGGCTTTCCTAGGCGGCATCACTTTGCTGCTGATGGGCGCGTTCGCTGGCAGCTCAGACAGCGACGAAAACCTGCAAGGGACATGAAGCCTGACACCACACAACATGTACGAATATGACCTATGATCTGTGACCCTTAGGCAGTGGTGCAGCAACCGCGAACCATGACTTTCTTGACAAGCCGGCATGTCTTGCTAAGGTGTAGTATAGCCTGGCCGATTTTATTTACTGCCATGTTTCTTCTCCACTGCTTCTCATTGGAGGCGGAGCATGACCAACAGGTTTCTGCCTGCGCTCTGAGGGGAAAACTTTTCACGAATCAGTGCTTAACTTACAGCACTCATCAAGGAACTGTAATCCTTGACTCACAGACGTATAAACAACGCAGCTGGGAGATCCTGAGAAGATGAGTTGCACGCCAGGCGGGAGGTCTCCCCTACGCCATGGTGGTGCTGTGCCTCGCCCAGAACCGTCCGCTATCCATGTCCCCATGCCAGTTCAGGCATCTAAACCCACACGCACCGTTCAGGGTATGGGAGTCGCGAGTTTAGACAGTTTGATTACCGCACAATTACCACAAACGGTGTAAGATTTTGTCTTCCCGGGTATCGGATGAAGGTGGGATGCAAGATTCGGCATGAGGACGAAGTCGGTTCAAGTCGCTCCCCGGAAGACTCCAAAGTGCTGCAGGCATGATCCTCTGGCTTCGTCAGCCGCGGCCCCAGCAGCAGGTGGAAAAGAAATTGAATAAAGCTGCACGACATTGGCCATACTCTCTATTTCCGAGACCCGATCAGACTGGCCATCATCTCTCAGAGGTTGTTTGTGTGGTCTGTCTCCGGGAACCGTCGTTAGTCAAAGTGTGCGGCTCCGTTGATTGTCGGAGACCGGGAGCTCTGGAATCTGCAGACCACGGGGAGCCCAAACTCTCTGAAAGGTACGGGGCCCTTGTCGGCGGTCTCATCCCCTTAGTCTTCTACGTGCTTCAGCAGCCGCAGTCCTTCGGGCCCTCGCCTCAGGGCCTCCTAGGGCAATCTTAAGGGACGTCAGGTGTAAGATGGTTTACGCAAGAACTGCGGCTTGGATCATTCCACGACCGTTGAAGCCTACAGATCTCTGCGAGGCGTTTGCCCATGGATTCGCTGGTGCCTCTCTCCGTCGCAGTGGGAGGTGTACTAGGCTGGACGGCCCTACATACCTCGGGTTCAGCAGTGTGATTCCACAGAAAGTACTTGCAGTTTGCAGCGAGAGCTTTGCGATGAAAAACTAGTTGCATTTCGTGTGCTGCTGACCTCGCCAGGTCACTTGTCTGGGCCCCAGCCGAGGCAAACATGCCATCTAGCAGAGTTGAGCCAGCATGTGCTCGTGAGTGACCTCCACCGAAGTAACTCTGCGAAAGCACCACTGCTGCACAGTAACAACATCTTACCGTTCAACTATCGCAACACTGCAGCTGCTGCTGCACGCATCTTGAACGTCGTTTGCTTCGTGTCAGCCTCGGTGCTGAGCTGCCGAGGTTCTGCCAGTCCTTTACCATGCTCTGGCAAGAGAAGCGCGAGCATCTGGAATCCGACTACCGCGTGATCTTCCTCTTCCCACACATGAGCTCACAGGTACTGTGAGGGCTTGAGTGCTTCGAGGCAGTGCTTCCAAGCCCTTCTATGCTAATTTGGAAAGACATAGGCCACAAGCATGTAACAAGACATTTGCTTTTGACTTGGCCGTGTCGTTTCTCCATGTGTCCTAAATCTCCTCCTTAATTTGGGTTCAGCGTCAGCCGTGCGACGTACAAACCTCGCTGCACCTAATGGCTCCCCGCGTGCTGGCCCGCAATCGTGCCAGGCAAGGTCAAAGGCCTCTGTGGCCATGCGCGTGGCGCTGAAGCGCGGTGCGGAGGCCGATTTCGAGTCGAGCCGTCAAGCTTCGCGACCGTGGCAGCCAGGCGACCAAGAATACAGCGGCCGAGTGGGTTGCTGCCAGAGCTGTGAGGAGCCGGTAGTCCGAAAACGTTCGGAGATGTGCGAGAAGTTTCCGAGGTCCAAAGCAGAAGCTTTGGGATCTCCTAGCCTGCTGCCCGCACTCCGCCCTTCCTTGCAGGACCAGCATGGACTTCTTCCTCCGAGCTCTTACACGGCGCACCGCACTCCCTGTGGACTAGGAAAATGGAGGCGCATGGGGCCAAGTTCTACGGAGCTGCTCACTTGTAGCTTCTAATTCTTCGCGATTTCTCCGCACCTGGGTCCTAGTTCTAGGGCTAGACACAAACAAGGGGTTTTGTCACGTGATAGATTTTGCATTGCACACTGTGGAAGAAAGAATCTACCTGCTGTAAGACTGCCCGTTCATGAGCACTAGGTTGAGCCCGGGCCTCGTGAAGCCTACACAACACTTTTCAGAGGCTTACTAGGTCCTAGGAGTTCCGATCACTCGAAGTCAGCGCGAAACAAGCAGTCTCGCGCCTGCCGGCAGGCACGGGTGGCTTTTGAACACAGTCCGCTGCCTGAGCTGCCATAAGATTCGACCACCCGCGCTGTCCAGATGGTTTGTGTCCTGGAATGTTCAGGCACTGATTCATACGCGAAAGCGGTGCTAACTGACTACGCTTAATGCTGCAAGCAACGCCACGAAGAAAACTAAAATCTGACAGCGGCACGCCGATGATGGCTACAGGTAGCCGTGAAGATGCTGCACATGGATGCACGGGCAGCTCCTGCTCTGCATGTGGTGCAGCGTTTTGACTTTCCCACGGGCATTGAGCCACTATGCGCCCAAGCCTTGGCTTAGCCAGCCTGCACCTGTAGCTCCTCATCGAACCTCACGTGACTGAAGAGAATATCCAACGAGCCTCAAACTTGGGGGAATGGAGATACAGCTGCTTCATTTATAGCAGGCCGCATCCACGAGCACAGACACTGAACATAGTGACGTTTCGTCGTCAGCAACCAGAACTGGGCTTCTTCGCAGCATGTCTGAATCGAGACGATGACACTGTGACTTCAAGAAGCCCAGATCCTGTGGTTGTCATGTGCCGTGCCTCAACTAAGTTACCTTGCCGAAGCTTTTAGATCATCGGATTTCCAGGTGTGCCCCACCTGGCAAAAGCACTAAGCCAAGGCTGAGCTTTCCCTCTCAGATCCCTTAAAAAAATGAAGGCAGTTGAGGCCACTGCAGTCTGATCTCCTAGCACAGTGCAGACTCGAGCATGCGAGGGGAAACGCGCTCAGGGAGACACCGTGGCCCTGCAGTTCCGACTAAATCTTAGTCTTATGCATAGTAATGATAAGACCAATAACAAAAAAGACATCAATTTCGTGACCCAGCTTGGAGTGCACTCGAAGTGTGTTGACCTTTGCCAGTCTTTGCTTGCAATTCGGTCCGAGCATCCTAGCGGCTGCATGGCCACGTGGAAGAGGCGGTGTCGTACCCCACATCATTGCTGGAAGGGTGTCCTCAGATGTAGCAGAGATACCCACATTCAGGTCGTCAGAAATGGACATGCATTTAGACTGCCGGAGAGCATCGCTGCCATCGGCCTTTGGCATGGGCGGCGAGGCCATGCAGGGCAGTGGGTTGAAGATGAGTTCTACTCGGAGTTTCCTGGAGCCTACTACTGCTCCTCTGACTTCTTTGAGGGCCCGTAGAAGTTTCATCGAGAAGTGGTCCAAGCCTACATTTCTAGGATTCGAGGCCTTGTCTTCCCGGCCGCCTTCAATCCTCCCAAGAGCCGGCAGTGCCAAGATCCAAGCAGGGCACCCTGAAAAAAATCTCAATGATGTTCCTGGGGGGTTCTCTTTTCTATTTACACTTGCTATACAGCACATCGAAATTCTCTTCTAATGTCCATGTATCGAGAGCTTGATACTCTGAGATGAAGTGGCACAGCTCTTTGATTGTCAGGAGTCGAACTCGGGCACTTTCGGGTGCCTTTAACTGTCGGTGGTGATGAAGCTTTTCTCTTGCCTCGCGAACATTGCCCGACTTAACCTGCCTCTGCTTGTCGGTGCTCCGAGCTTCTTGCAGTCCGCTGCAGTGAACCGAAAGCGGCGGTTTTGTGCGCAGCCTTCTACATGCCCGAAATCATCAGACATGCCTCGAGCAGGGGAACCACCTGCAGACTTTGCTGGAAACGGTGTCCGTGCTTCTTGGCCGTACAAAATCACAAAATCGCGTGCAAGTGTGCTCACCTGCATGTCTGTTGGTACAACATGCTGCTGAGATTTCAACTGCAGCTGAAGCAGAATGAGCGGTTCATTGAGGACGCGCAGGCCGCCCTTCATTCATGATTCATGCCACTGACATGTCATGTCGGGAAAACTTCACAGCTGACTGTGTTCCTCCGTTGCAAGTGTCATGGCCGTGGCTTCATGTTGCAGCTTGGCGGGCAACATTCGACCGAAGGGTGGATTTCCAGGATATTGAATGTCGGCATTCGCATGATTCGTATGGACGTCCGCGCAGAAGCGTCAACCACCCCGGTCAGACATCTCTTGCGTCTCTTGCTTTACGGCAAACAAAACAATCGAAGTAACACAGACTTCAGAGGCGGGAGTAGTCAAAAAAAACGCGCACTTGTTGTGGAATTGCCGCTTGTTGCTCGCATGCTCATTCGGATTGATGCTATAAGTGTCATAGAGCAGGCAGCAACTTTTATATTATTATAGTATGCTATATTATATGTTATGTATTATGTATGTTATATATGATTTATTATATATTAAAATATATACATATATATATATGTGATATCACATATGATATGATATTATGTTGTATTTGTATTATATTAGATGATATATTACATTGCATTATACTGTATTTTCATAATAGGTGAAAAAATGATATAATTGAATCCTTCTCACAGGCCCGGGTAACCAACGCCGAGCGCCTCTGCGCCCGGCTGCAGCGCGCCGCCCTGACAGCGCAGCGCGAGAGCGACGCGGCGGTGATCCGGGCCGAGGCCCGGGGCGGACAGCTAAGGGTGGGGTTTAGGGGTTTAGGGGTTTAGGGGTTTAGGGGTTTAGGGTTTAGGGTTTAGGGGTTTGGGGGTTTGGGGGTTTAGGGTTTAGGGCATTCTAAGGCGGGAAAAAAGCGGTCTTACCCATTGCCCTGGAAAGGTCTGTTCAGGTCAAGCTGCTATTGCTGAGAGTTTTTTGCAGCTGCCTTCCAGAGCTTCGAGCTCTGCTGAATTCCCGAAGCCCTCAGCAGCGCAGCATCATGCATGACAAGCTGTTTCAGCTGCACTTTCTGCCGGTCAGTCTACTTCCAACAGAGGAACTGGCTAGACTATAATAATTTTGTTTGTATTGTAACTCTCTCCCTCTACTCTCACTCCTCACTCGCTCGCTCACTCACTCACTCGCTCGCACTTTCTCTCTCTCTCTCTCTCTCACTCTCTCTCACTCTCTCTCGTCCTACCATGCTTGCCGATTTGGCTGTGTATCTACGGTGGTACATCCGTAAAGACCACCAAATAGGAGTGGTATGCGGCTTGGGCCTTACGTCCTAAACCCGAAATTGAATCCACAACCCTGAATCTTACGTATATCCTGACCCTGAACTGAATCCTTAACCCGAAAACCTCTTCGGAATGCACGAACAGGAGCAGCAGCCCTCCCGGCTTCAAAACTGTTAGGAAGCTTGTCGTTCTGCTATTTCTCGAAATAATCGAGACAGTCTCCAGGCTCCAAGAAGAGGAAGAAGAAACAATAAAAAAAAGCTCAAATATGAACCCCAGAACCCTGAAACTAAAGCCTTACTTCTTCTCAATCTCCTTTTAGGGTTAGGTTAGGGGTTTCAGGGGTTCAGTATATATTATAGAGCTTACTTGTCCAGTATCCTGGCAGAAGCTAGGACATTTTCAGGTGGGCAGTTACCCTGAAAGAAGCCTTATAGAAGGTCTATATACCTTATAGAAACCTCATAGAAGCCCTAAATACCCTGAACTCCCCACCTTGTAGTTTCCTTTAATCCCTAAACCCTACCTAAACCCTAAATGCCCTAAACCCTATATACCCTAAAGTTATCTTTGGTGCCCCATCTCCGAAGGCCGCAGAGGCCGAGCTGGATCGCGGCCTGGCACTTCTTTGTCTCTCTCGGTTTAGGAGGGGTTTAGGGGTTTGGGGTCTTGAGGATTTAAGGTTTTAGGGTTATGGGCTTTAGGGTTTTAGGGGTTTAGGGTTTAGAATTTCGTTTAGGGTGAGCCTAAACCGTAAACCGAAGTAACCAATGTTTCGGAATTGAGTAGGACTGCTCTGAAAATAACGAACATTTAGGCTTTTGGGGTTCCTAAAGTTTAGGGTTTAGGGTTTAGAGATGCTCCTAATGTAACGAACTTCGGGTTTAGGGTTTAGGTTCAGAGCTGCTTATAAACTAACGAATGTTCAGGGTTTAGAGTGTTCAAGAGTAGGGAGTCATTGCCAATCATGGATATGGCATAATCCTAGTTTAGCATACTGATTGGTACTAGCACTACTAATCTAATGACATAGGAAAAGGGCAGTGGCAACTTTCAGCAGCATCGAAAATACCACGAAGCAACAGAACAACTGCACATGTGTTTCTGTCATGAGGTGAAAAACAATGATCAGGACGATCACATCGCTGCAGATAGTACCTCTTGCCGTACTGTTGTCGTTACCGCTGGCCGCTTTGAAAAGCCTGTTCACCTTGTTCCTAGACTTATATTATTATTGGTACTGTCGTGGGTTTTCCTGGCACAAGGCACCAGAGACCGTGCGGGAAACGCCGCCTTTCGAAGCGATAGTTGTAGTTTGCCCTCACGGCCGAGCAAACACGAAGAGCATGACTACATGAGGCACAGGCCGATGCGTGCGAAGCCATTCATGACTTGGTGTCCCGAGCAGTGTATATGAAGTATATGAACTCACTAGATTCACTAGATAAGCTAGATATGGCCAGCTCATGGCAAGCCCTCTTAGTCGTAAGCAAAAGTACGAGTCCAAAGCCTTGCAACAATCCCGCAAAAAAACGCCATGTTAAAGCACCGCGGGAACACATCCAAGTTGCGACTGTGCTTTTTTCTCGCTTCCACAGTTGGCATCCTGGCCGAGGTTTGCAGCAGAAGCGCCACCCATTGGGCGCCACTTTCGACGATGTGGATCTGCTGCGCCAGCGACAAGGCTCCAAACCAAATTGCGCTGTCCGCACTGCTTCCAAAAAGAGGAGGGAGAGGGAACCTGGGAAGGCGGGCAGAGAAGCCACACGGGGAGCGCCAACAGGAACTGCTAATGCAGTGCTAATGCAATTTACCGTCACGTCCGTGTTGTTTTCATTCTTGTGGGGGCCGTCCGCATCCAATCCGTCCAAGGACACTGGAGCAGGCACAGTCCCCGACTACCGTTACGCTGTCCAGCCGTACGGCCAAAGGTTGAGCCATGGCTTTTTCTAAGATCCGTGACAGAGATTGGACACCCTCAGCTGAAAACCTCCCAAGCCTTCTACCAGCACATGCTAAGCTCCACATCCTTAAATTCGAAAGCCGTGCCTGTGTGCCAGGTGTGCTCGAGGCCGAGAGGGCGAGCCTCTCGGCCGAGCTGCGGCAGCACCGCGAAGATGCGGAGGCCTTGTCGGGACATTTGGGAGCGCGGAGCTTCTCAGCGACAGGTCGGCAAGTTCCAAGACTGCTTCATTCCCGAGTTAACACGGCAACGACATGATAGCAGCCATCCGGAATCTGGAGTGTGGCGTGCCGTGCATGGGCTGCAGTTGTGTGACGGGATCCTCAACATCCTCAGCCCCTCAAAGTCTGCAAACCCTCTAAGGGACTCGAGCAAACCTCGAGCCGGGCTCTGTCCTCTGTTCCAGGAGCTGGCCGCAAAGTCCGTCGCCGCCCGACGCCGTGAGCTGCAACTGCGCTCCAAGCTGGAGGCGGCGAGGCAGAGGCCGGGTTTCCACAGCTCTATAAGGCTCTATAGGTAAAATCATGCTTGAACATGGAATGTGCCATAAACAAGTGTGCCCATATATATATATATGTATATACACGTGTATACATCTGTATGTATGTATGTATGTATGTATGTATGCAAGCATGCATGCATGAATGGATGGATGTGTGTACATGTGTATATGTCTCCATCCATCCATCTATCTATCTATCGATCTAGCTATCTATCTATCTACCTATCTATCTATCTATCATTATCTATTTTTCTATCTATCGATCTATCTGTATGTATATACATCTATATGTATGTACGTATGCATGTATGTATGTATGTATGTATCTATGTATCTATGTATCTATGTATCTATGTATGTATGTAGGTGGGTGGGTGGGTGGGTGGGTGGGTGGGTAGGTAGGTAGGTAGCTAGGTAGGTAGGTAGGTAGGTATGTGTGTATGTAAATGTATATCAGTCATATGCTACTAAAACACATGTGTACATATGTATACATATATATATATACAAGATTATGTATGTACGAAGAAGGTTATAATGAGTATGTGTGCAAGTATATCAACTGTGTCCATTGTATCATATCCTGTGTATGTGCTGCATCTCTTAGTTACTCACTGTACAAGATGTACTTCTCGGGGATCTTCGTGGCAAGCTCAGTCGTGGCCTGTCGGGGTCCAGCTCAGCACAGCTCGGCTTTATTCCAGGTGCACAACTGAGAAGCGCGAGATCGAACAGCGGCACACCAAGGCGAGAATCCGGAAAGCTTGCTCCAAACTTCTGAAGGGAGAATCATTGGGGCTGAGAGGCTCAGGCCTCAGGATGCATCAGGCCAAGGAGTTTGAGCAGTCTTCCCGAGCTGCGCAGCAGAGCTTCATGGCACGGGTGTCTACGATTGCATGCAGGACTCGTCTCGTGCAAGACAGCTTCCAGTCGTGTTGTGGCAGGAGCGCGAGGCTTTTGTCCACGAGATGCAGGCCACATCACTGGCTGACCAGCTGCAGGGCTGACCTCAAGCATCGATACTGCGCAAGTTGGGTCCAAACCCAAACTCCAAGCCTATGTTCAACCATCCTCCTGAATCGAGCTCTCAGCAATAGCCACAAGATCCGCATATACATTCCTCGCCATGCCGCTGTTCAAAACTTCAAAGCTCGAACCACAAATATGAGTCGTGTCTACCAGGCAGAGCTCCAGGCAGTCGCTGCTGCAACTGTGGGCCCGGCAAGCCTTGAGGGGCTTGCGAGCTGTAGAACTGGGGTCAGGAAGTCCTCTGAAAGAGGCTTGGGTATAAGTTCGGGGGAAGGATGAATCAGCTAGGAAGTCAGCCATGTGCCTGTCCGCCATGATGTCTCGTTCGTCCATGAAAAAACGGGTCCTGCCGCCTGATTATGCGGTTTCAGAGACCTGGCTTTGGGGCTTTGGGTATCTTATAGCTGTTAGAGGGTACAAGACTCGGAACGGCCGACTTGACAATTCACAAGCCAGGAAAACGAAGTTGCGATGCTGACCGCACAACAGGAAGAGGAGGTCGGGGATGAGGGCAGCGGGTTGTTGTGCCTGTATCAGGTTTGGGACTTGGTTGCCAGTATGTTTCGGGGTTTTTTCGCCTCCGCGCTGGGGATGTGACCTACGCACGAAGTTGAGCTGGCCACCATAGGACGCACACTGCGAACAAAGCGCACTCCAAGCTCATATACCCGGAACAAAGGCCCCAGGGCGCTCTTCATCCCCTGAAGACACAGTGTCCGCGAAATGAGCACTACTCTATGATTTTATGATGGTGTGAGAAGCATTGGCTTGCTTCCATCACTACTTGTTCACACCATATTTTCCCTGATAGAAGGTGTTCTCTCGGATTCTCTCGCTTCCAGGCTTGGAGTCCAACTACTGACTACTGTCTTTGTCTAGCATTACTTGTCCTGATTTCTCATTCAGATCCAAACGGACTACAAGTGATAACACTTCATGAGGTCAATCTGACATCCGTTGTCTTCAACATCTTCGCCACACCCTTGAATCGAAACGATTTGGCAACTCGCAACTTAACATGCAGGCTGACCCGTGTGGCATCTGACAGAGAGAAGAAACATGCCGTTTACTCACATCCATACTAAGCCCATCCCCTACAAACCTGACACGAAATCGTGGAAAGCCACTTCGAAACACAGGAAGATGCGGGGCACACGGCACACGGCCGGTGACTACGTGCACGCCCTTCGCCCCCCTGAACCCTATAGACCCCTATGTAAACCCTAATTCTCAGAACTCTAAAGCCTTAAAGCCTTCATTAAGCCTTATATCAAAAAAGGGCCCCCCCCCCCCCCAAGAGGTCCGGAGCCTCCGCAGAGCGGAAGCCGCCGCGGCCCAGCGCCACAGCGCCGGGGCCTCGAGGAGCGAAGCCGCGGCGGCAGAGTCGGCGGCGAGGCCCCGGGGACGTTCCTTCATTTCGGATGGGCAGGTAAGGGGCCTAAAAGGGGCTTAGGGGTTTAGGGGTTTAGGGGCTTAGGGGTTTAGGGGTTTAGGGGTTTAGGGTTTAGGGTTGCTTGAAATAGTGTTCGGTTAGTTGGTTAGAATTGAAATCGCATGGCTATCTGTCTTTGACGATTCTTACTACGACGTCTCGTGACCAGTGCTGTTGCTAGCGCTATTCCGGTTCGCATTATCATTCCTAACTCGTTACTGCTAGTCATGTGCAGACCGTTGGTTCTAGGATGTCAGGACAGCTGACAAGTTTGGGGGTTCGAGCAGCTCATGCGGGGGTTTCGCGCTGGGAAGTTACGCTGAATTGGAGGTGTTCATGCCAAATCCATATTTCAAACTGGCTCTGATGCGCCAGTTTCTGCGCCATCGCAGGTTGCAGGAGACCCAGTCCCTTCGCCGGCTATGCGAGCACTCCTCCGGTGAGGTTTCGAGGCACCTTGTTGTGCTTTCTCCCCCTCTGTCTCTCTCTTCTTTTTTATGTGTCTCTCTCCACAAGACAGCCTCCAGATGTCCCTGACACATGATAAGCTGTGAGGTTGTCTGCCGAGCTGCGAGCGATGCAGGCAGCCGGCTTTGACCTCCAGGTGCGCCGTGAAAGTGAAAGTGTTTCGGAAGGCCAGGCTATCGCGACAAGCAGGAAATCCTGAAAAGTGTCCATCTCCACTCGGGAGAGCTTGGTATGGCTGGCTAACTCAACACTGGACGGACGACGTTCCGGACAAGAGGGGGCAGCATAGTGAATTTGAGTGGGATCATGGGAGGCATGGCAAGTCCGAGACCTCCAAAACTCTACAACATAGTCTCTACATAGTCTCTAGGTTAGGACTTGGTTTCAAGCAGGACTTGGAGGACAGCACCGACAGCGAGGCACAGGCTAGTTCGCAGAGGTTTTGAAAAAGTGCTTTGTAACTCATCTTCATGGCATTGAGACATGTCGAGGGCTTGGTTGCGCTTGGAGGTGGAAAGAGAGACCGACTTCTTCCGCGCACGCTGCGAGTCTATTGAAAGGCGCAGGGCGGATGCTGTGAGCCACCGCGCACGCAACTTGTCTCGCCTGGGAGGCGTTGCGCGCGAGCACTGCGCGCTGCCTCGAGGCCGCATGGAGGGGTCATGAAGAACACCGTGAAGGGCACATGAGACACGCATCACATGGAAGCCGTTTCGTTGGCACCCACCCGCTGCGCAGGAAGGAGTTTGACAAGGTGCCGCCGGAGCTTTGGCGGCAGTGGAGTATGTCAATCTGCATATCTCAGCATGGTTGAGCTTGGTTCCGTGCACGAGCCAAACAGCTCCACAGTGTCGGGCCTCCGCCTGATACGCAAAGGGTGTTCTTATAATGAGAAACTATCCCTCCACACAACTCTATTCGAACAGTAAAAATTACGAGCTAGTGTTGCTAGATTTTCGTGACAATGATGGTAGCAAAGCATACAGCAGTATTATTACAAACTGATCACACTAGGGCCCTCCGGGCTTTGAGTTTTTTAAAACCCGGCACTTTCGAGCTTTGGCGAAGGATCTCAGCTTCACAGAGTCCCTGGACCCGGTGAGCCCACGTGAGATATCGGAACCCGAGAGCCGTGAAGGCGACTGGCAGCTTTCTGGGCGATTGTGCCTTGGGTCTGGCATCCCAAGTTCTCACGAGCATGGAGCATGAGCGTTATCTTTGCTTCCATAGTAGCACTGCTCAGCCCCGTCGTGTGGTGATCCTTCTTTGTCAGCTCCTTCCGACACCAGGCAGCCTGGCGCCGGCAGAGAGCCGGAAGTCAAGGAGCACTGAGGCTAACTTCTCAGCTTGTTGCAGTTTCCATGCAGATCAATTACAGCATATAAGGATCGGCAACATGCCCAATATGCGGCTAGGCCAAAGATTCTGAAGTTGATTCAGCACGTGCGAGCCAAGGCCTTCGACCTCGGCACAGACTCTCATCTTCACGATCCTGCTGTGCAAAGTCCTCGGCAGGAGGCCGTCTCCGACCATCGATCTCGAGATCGAGTGTAGGTTTCTGGAATTTATGGGCCTTGGCTGTGCAACTCCCGTCCATGGCGGGAATGCTATGTACAAGGGCTTCCTAAGTGGTTCGTTTTGCCGACGGATTCACAGCAGGTTTGTGCCAGTGTGGCCCTCGTGCTGAGTGCATCTCTTTATGCGTACAATGCGCAGGTCCACTCGCCACCCCCGTCTAAAGCCTGATATATGTACGTAGTGGTCGGAACCATGAATAGTATTTCATTGTACAGATATGTAATGACGTCCCTTTATCGTCCCTTGTTCAGTCTTACTACAGCTGCTTCAAGCTGCTATATTACCACGTGGCACAATGGAGGCCAAGGCTCTGTTGGCCGAGCAGAACGAGACCTTTGCCTTTGTCCTGGAGGCATCGAACGACAGCGTCGAGGCGACGGCCGTGTTCCCGCAGTTTACAAACGCACTTTCGATTCGTCCCCATGTTCTGATGGATGGTCCTGATACCCAAACCACCAAGAAGGAAAGAAGCAAAGGCAGTGCGATGACACAGAATTAAAACTGTCGCCTGCTCCTGACATCTTCCCTGCTTTCTTGCTTCGGCAGTCCCGCGCCTTAAGTCCGGAATAAGAGCGGCTTTGCCTCGAAATCTTTGTTGATGCATTGCAGCTAACAGCCGTACTCAGGACTCCAGTGTGCAGCTCCGGCGCGCGATGCGGCAAAGACCGCGGACTCCCAGGAGGTAGAAAGTGGCAGGTTTGGGAGGGCTTGGCCTTTAGCCCACGATCTCACTGTGGGATGCACCGTGCCCGGTCGACTGTGGCTCCAGCAGACGAGATCCCTCAATTCCTCATCACGGCCCGCTGCAACTAAGGCCAATCAAGCCCGCGGCCAGTCGCAAGTCAACACAGCATGTACCAGCATTGGCAAAGAAGCAGCACAAGGGCACTTGGCTCCGCAAATGCATTTTTGCGCGCATGGCTGCTGATCAGTGAAGGACTGCGCCTTTGGCAGCTTCGGGACTGGAAAGAGTGCTGTAGTTGGTCCATCGCAATGCTGTTAGGGCGCGGCTTAGGGTTTGGGGTTGAGCTCTAGGTTAAGTTTCAAGCTAGGGGTTCATGGTTCACCAGTGTAGCTCAGTGCCGTGGGCACTTGGTTACCGCTCAGCGCAAGGCTTACCATGAACCTGCATGTTTTGCCATGCCGTTCTTGCGCTTTGGCCTGGCGTTGGGCTTGAGAGTCAGGGTCTGTAGATTGAGGGGTTCGGGGCTTCGAGCTTGGATTTCGGGCTTGTAGGGTTTTTACCCACCTTTAGGGTTATGGCAGGCTTGGGGATTACGAGGCTGGGGCCAGGACTTGGGGAGCGATAGCGTGTGAGCAGACAAGTATGGAAAAGAGTTGCGGCACTTTCGACATAGTCCTGCTTCCCCCAAGTCACTTGCGAAAGTACAGACCGAGAAGGAAACGCAGTGCCACACAGCAGAGGCAAACTGTAAAGGCCGCTCCTGGCATTGTTCCGGATTGCTTCGACAGGCCCTTAGCCTTAAGTCCTGAATAAGAGCGGCGTGGCTCGAAATCTTTGTCGTACTGCAGCAAACCTCAGGACCCCAGTGTGCACCTCCGGCGTGTGGTGCAGCAAAGACCGCGGACTTCCGGGAGGTAGCACAACAAAAAGGCAGAGTTGGGAGATCTTGACTTTCAGCTCTTGGGCTCCAGCTGAAGCTGATCGGCACATGCACTGACGATGTGACTTTGATTGCCCGTGCCCATTCCCGACAACCTGTGGCTCCATTCAGGGGAATGTCACCAGCAGCCATCATCACCACACGCTGCAGCTGAAGACCAATTGTCAAGATGCCGGCTTCCAACAAGACGTTGCTACGGCAGCATGCAGCAGCCTTGACAAAGAAGCAGCAGCACATGGCACCAAGCGCAGTACTGGCCCGGATCCGGTTCGCGTGCATGGCCGCTGATCAGTGGAAAACTGCGTTCCTGCAAGTCTGCCTCCACAGGCGACAACAGCAAGAGGGCAGAGTGAGCGTGAGGGGTCTCTTCTCTTGTGCTTGCCAGTGAACGAAGCTGAGCGGAGTGGGGGAGTCAACAGTTCTAACTCAACGGTGTGAGACGCTGTGCCCGACAGTGATTTCCAGCCGCTGACGGAGCTCCTGTCACAAGATCACGAGCCCCCAGGCTGCAAAACAAGCCAGGTCCAGGGAGAGGGATCCTGACGGTTTCTCAATGATGCTGCTGAAGACACTGCACTAGGCAGAGATTGAATTCTGCTCTTCGATCCGACACATGGTCATCCCACATCCCTCAGCATTGTCACGCGTGTAGTCACACGCGCACACACACACACAGACTGCTCTTCGTGTCGAGCGACGTGTTGGAAGCGTTGCCTGTTGACATGCGCTTCCTTCTGAGGAGCAGTGGCATCAATGAAGCCAGCATCGACTGGGAGGGCGTCTTCCTGACGCCATTGCTGCTTCCTTGCACTATCATTCACTATCCAACCACTCTCCACCAGTCGAGGTCGACTGGCTCCCGGTAGGATCGGGGCGCTGACCACTAATCGTGCCACTTCTTTCCATGCTTGCTGCTGTCGGCAGGTGCTTTGGTTGCCAACCGTTGTTACAGCTCTTGCACCACATGCTTCGAACTGTGGCTCACGAGACCAACCAGCCAATATCAGCAACTCTCATAGTTCGCAGTGCCCTTCGTCGGACAAGCCTCAGATCTCTCCATTGCAGTCTCTCGAGGTTCGTCGCCTCCCTGCTGCGGCTTGAGGATCAGTTGTGACGGCCTCGGTTTGGAATTGGAAACTCAAGCAAGTTGCTTCTGCATCCTGGATGAAACCATCCTCCCGGTTTCAAGAGCCCGTGAACCCTTGCTGACCGCTGCCTGCCATAGTATGGTATAGTGCGGTACAGTTCGGGCAGTACAGAGTGTCGGCAAGAGCAATACGTGTGGTCGGTTCCTGTCGCACTGATTGCCGTGGTCTTTTGCCTTCGCTTTCGCTGACGGATTGGAAGTACTAGGTGACGCCGGAAGCCTTCATATAAAGCTTACAATCTACCCCTTAGGAACCCTGACTGCTGTATGCAAACCGCCTGTGCCTCAAAGCCAAGAAGAAACGTTGATTTCATAGACATCAGGCCACAGCTGGTGGCAGCCGGTGCTGATCCCAACGTACAATGCTTCTACGCAGGCCCACTCTTTCAGTCTCAAAAGCTTTCAGCTGCGACAATACTCGTTGCAAGATTACGCTGGTGCGGTATGAGGTATTCGTAAATTCTCCTTGGGACTTCAAGGGTTTGCCGTTGAGAGATTTCGGGAAGCTAAAGTGGAGGGATGGTTTCCAGGCTTCTTGAGTCAAACATGACCTCGAGGATCCTCGAGGGACAGGCGATGATTTCCAGCCGATCCGCTGTGATCCACACGTGTGTGACAGACAAAGCAAGACTCGACTTTGCACGAGACTGCCCGATATTGGACAAGTGTGATACCAAGTAACCAAGTAAGATTCCTCCTTACTACGCAGGTACTAGAGTATTATATGTACCAATATTATGTAGATTGATTAAATTCTGACCTTATGCTAGGATACAGGATAATGGAATATGCTACATTCCATTGTCTGGGTGTGGGGGAGTTTGGGGTTTTGGGACTTCAGGGGTGTGTACGGGCTTGGGAGTTCAGGGGTTCAGGGCTTGTTGCCCAGATTTTAGCCGCCTCAAGAGACGGCAGCTGAAGCCTTCCATGAACCCCAACAAATCCCAGGCCCAAGCACCCGAAGCACAGCCCGGCCCCAACCCCAAACACGGTACCCCGAGAGGCCTTGTCTGCTCCCCACTTCACGGCGCTGCACTGCGTGGCGATGCCACGGTGCTGGAAGCGCTCTTAGCAGCTGGAGGCCGGAAGCGGAGCACGTGGACTCCTCTGTCATATGGAGGGGCTTTAAACTGCTTTCTTTTTCGGATTTGAAGACGTTCGTTCAAGCACATCTTCGGACAGGATATATATGGTGACACTGCAGAGAAGTGTCTGTGAGTTTGTTCGTGCGTCTGTGTGCGCCTGTGCGTGTACGCTCGCCAAGAGCTTCCGTCTGCAGCCTCCAGGCGATCTTTTCGCAGAGGCCGAGGCGCTTGAGCTTGTCATAAATAGCCTTCTAACTCATCATGGAGCTCTTTGCCAGAGTTCGCTCTGCTTAGGCCTCAGCGGTGGATGGCGAAGGAGAGACGCTGGCGCACACTTTGATGGGCCTCCACGCGCTTCACGCCCACTTCCTAAGTTGAGCAACGAAGTCATGTCAGCGCTTTCAGAAGAGCGTCTTCACTGTTCCAGACCTCCCCGGCGCCTGAAGCTACTCATGCGACCTAGGTTTTGGTGGCCAAGGACATCTACAGTGAGGAGGTTGGAGCGACACCTGAAAAACTGTTGTCTCGCGGCGCCGAACTGCAACAGCCCCTTGTTCCACTACGCACGGAGGTCTACCGGCTTCTGATGCGAAGAGGGCTTCGACTCAGCTCCTGCTGCCTCCAAAGACGAGGCTTTGCGTTTGTTGAGGTACTGTTCGGACACTTCACTTCCGACTCGTGTCATGTGTTGCACATGAAATTGTATGCACCGCCAAACAGGTTGTTGGTGCTGCTTCAGATGCAGTAAAAAAGCTGGGTGGCAAGTACTTGAGGGTAAGAGGAAAGAATATGCAGAGTTCTAAGTGCGAGAAGTGGGATCTTAATTGGGACTATGGCACTTATAGCTCTATAAAAATCACTACATACTAAATCTCCCGACCCTTCGCGTAGCCACCAGCTGAAGACGTACAGGTTGAACTCTGGAATTTGCTTTTGTTCACAAAGGCTCCACGATCCCAAAGTTGCGGTTGAGTGTAAGACTGACTCTGACCTCGGCTCGAACACCGTGCCGCAGGTGGTGAAATTCCTGGATTACTTCTTCCAAGGCTGGCACATGGCTCCTCATGGCACCACCTTGCTGAAAGTTCAAGAGACAGCCCAGATGCACTCTGATCTAAACCTAGGCCCTACACCCCAGAACTCCCAACTCTAAAGCATCGACTCTTTGGCAGGCTGCTGGGCAATCAACACGCCACGGAGGAGCGCTTGGACGTGCTCCTGAGGGAAGAGGCGGCTGAAATGAGGTGTCTATGCTTTGGGTTATCAGAAAGAAGTAGTAGTAGTCGTCGTCGTAGTAGTAGTAGTAGCAGTAGCAGGATACATAGCCATATAGACTATAGAGGCTTTCAGGGGGCATTGTTGCCAAGTATGGCGCTGAGAGGTTTTGGGGATCAACCTCTGTCCTGTCCCGTTTCAGGTTCAGCTGATCATTCGCTCGGCTGGCCTAGCTCACGAACTCAACGAGTTCCTGGAGGTACCCCGGCTTGCTAGGAGCGTCAGCGAGGGAGGTGGCAAAGCGGACAAGAACCATGTCGCCTTGCAGCTTGAGGTTGTGTCCGCTTTGCGGCGCGACCATGATGCGACCTGGCTGGTCCTGCGAGGAGCAATAACTGGCAACAGCAAACACAGCTGAGCCGGGGGACGCCTTGGCGCCTCAGGTGGCATACCGATGTGCCAGCGACATCGACTTCCCGATCGCCGAGCCCGACCCAGAAAGCTCACAGAGCTCAGGATCCATCGGGGGCCTGGCCGGGAAAGGCACTAGTCACCAGCATTGATTGTAGCGGCGCCCTTGCATGTGGAAGGACGGAACGAGGAGCCCCCTACGGCGCTGCTTTTTGCTGCCCAGGCACTTCGACTTCGGCTTAGCTTTGGGCGCCCACTGAAAAGTGTGGTTTCGAGCTGCAGCTCTGCCAGCGTCACTGCAAACACCACCCGCATTGTTCAGCACAGGCGGGCCGCTGCGAAGCAGTTCGGCTTCTGTGCCTCGGAATCTGCTTCAACAATCTTTCCATGCTGACCTCCCAGTCTGCATGCAATCCTGACTTGGTTTGGGTTCCGCGCTTCTATGCTTAGATAACTACATAAGAGCTTCAAAGTTCAAGCAAAGCCAGTGCTTGCTGTGTCTCTCAAAGTTTCTCTGCAGACGCCGATGGAAAAGGTGATCGCTGAGAAACTGGTAGTTTAGCAGCTCCGTGAACTTGCAGCAATCCAGGCTCTACGCCGGTGCCGATGCTACCCGGAGCATGCGACGAGTGCTGGCCATGGACGACAGGCAAGGGTCCACGAGACGAGAACTTGAGTGAGTGAAGTACAGCATGGCGTGTACATGTCTCGGGAACATATGCTCCAAGCTGCAATCCAAACTGGAAGGCGAATGATGGTGCTACAGGCCCAAGCGGTACAACTCGCAACTTGGCGGTCCTGCTGGCAGAAGCAAAGCGTATTCAGTTTAGCCCCTTTGACCCGTGCTTTGGAGTCGTGTAATTACAGTCCTACTTCCGCCGAGGCCGTGCTGCGCAGCGACTTGGTCATGGTCGAGCAGCTGCTCTTCTTCGACATCAGCCCTGATCTCACATGTGCCTTTCCTGCACACGAAAGGCGAGCCGGCGAAAGCGGCAGCCTGGAGCGGAAGAGATTCAATTATGGACATGGGCTCTTGAGCAACGGCCGAGCCCTTTCGCTGTTGCATGCTCCCAACAGATGCCTGCTGCAAACTTCTCAGGTTCCGCAAAAGTCTTCGACTCTGGCGGCGATGCCGACCAAGAGCCGCTCGGCTTCTGCGCTGAGTAAACTTTGTGGCCCAGCGCCCTCCAAGCTGATGCCCGAGCTCCGAAGGCCTTTGGAGGAGTGGACTGGATTGAGCTTGCTTCACCTCGTCGTCCTGAGCCGGAGCTTCGCTGCTCGGCTCTTCGGGAGGTTAGGATACGCTGAGCATTGGAGCCCTCAAGATTGTGACGTCTGAGCATGGAATGAATGAGCCCCGAGCCCCAGGATCTGGTGGAACCTCTTCAGCAGATGGGCTGCCGGCTCGAGGCCTCCTTCTTGTGTTGTTTCTTTTCTGTGGCTCTTAGTCGGTGCGTTGGCCGCTCGAGGGATTTTGCAGTACCAGAAAGCCCGGGTCTGGTCTTGGCTAATTGGATGTGCATCCTGTAGCATCAAACAGTCTTCTTTCGCGAGGCTACTGTCCACAACAGCCTTGGGGAACTGTCACATGCTCCGGAGCTCGAGTCAAGGCCATGGCCCAGCAGCGACTTCCCGATGGAACGACCACGCAGGCGATAGTGCTTGGGGAAAGGGACGTGAACTCCCACATACTCCCACTCCTCGCCGTCTCGCAGCTCTTTGTAGGTCCTCCCGTGCCACAAAGTACCACCGGGCACGCGGGGCCCAGAGATCCAAGCTCACCGCTCACCCGTGCAAGGCCCACCCTAGCCTGAAGATGCTTTGGACTTTGGCCTCCAGTGTAGCGTCAGGGAACTGAGGGTTTAGGATGGTTTATTAAAACCGAAGCTGCTGAGTCTGAATACGGATGCACCAAGCTTCAGGGTTCCTTTTCGTACGGCAGGTCACCCCGCTCCACTTGGCCGTGCTCATGGAAGATGCCAAAGCACGGCGCCCTGAGTTCTGATGGGCTCTTGGTTGGTGTTGGGGTGGGTGTGTGTGTGTGTGGGTGTGGGAGTGAGCGAGTGAGTGAGTGTGTTCGAGAGCTTTTAATTTTGCGGGCAGTGCCAGAACATCCCTGAGCGATCTGACCCAGGGCTGCACGCGCTGCATTGACTGCGGCGCAGAAGTCACCGACACCATCCGTGAGGCTGATGGGGGAACGGCTCTCCCGCCTTCACGTGGGTTTGGCGAAGTAGGGCGCTTCACTCTAGTGGTCTCCCTAAACCTCCCTGAGCCTCTAGAAGCACCTCCGCCCAGAGGAGCCAAAAAGGTCCCCCCACCCCCCCCCCAACAAAAAAAAAGCAGCAACAGCTTCCCCCTCCCTGGTCTCCGTGAAACGCATGGAGGCAGCCCTTCAGCGACGGCCTTTGCGGGAGATGTTCGGAGGCTCCTCGCCTATCGGCCTCCAGGCCAGGCTCTGAAAGGGCCGGGGGGCGGGGCCGGCGGTAGATTCAACGGCACTTCATCTTTGGTTCCCCCGCTCTTTTGGGGGGCTCTGTTTTGAGATGGTTTGACTGTAACAAAGATGTAAACCTTGAAAGCTGAGAGCACAGCCGACATCTCACCGAGGGGTCACCGAAGCGGGCCTGGATCGAGCTCCGAACTCTTCTCCTCTGCAAGGACTGGGTGGAGGCCATCCTCCAGGGAGCCGAGGCCTTGCAGGCCTTGCTGGAGCAGCGGACGGACCTCAACAAGGCCAGAAAGGGCCTACAGGGCCTTATGGGCTCCTTTTCAAGGCTTCCTACCTCTTCGTGTCCCTGGGTGAAAGTGAGGGGATGTCGGGCTCCGTTCAGGCCTTTGCCTGGCCGACGTCCGGGGAGGAGGCGAAGGAGCTCTTGGAAGGCCAGGATGCCCCCCCCTTTCTCGGCTAGGAACCGAGACATCTCCCCCTGGGCTGCCCCGGCCTCTCGCCTCCTTGCCACTCGTTTCAGAAGGAATGCGTGCCCAGGCATTTTCTTGCTTTGCTTTGGGCAGGCAAGCCGCTGTCCTCGCCGGCAACGACAGAAAGGCTTTCGGGTTGATAGGAAGGGAGGGCCCCAGGCTTTGTGATCATCTGTCGTCTGTGACTCTCCAGAGCGGCCTGCAACAAGTCCTAGTTCCTGAAGACTTTAAACAAAGCTAAGGCCCCCGACACCCCAAAGCCTGTAGCCCCTAAAGCTTGCTAGTGGCAGGACGTAGGGAGTCAGCGGCCCAATAGGTAGGGCGGCATGGGAGGGGAAGGGGACCGGGCTCCAGGCTGGTTCAAGGTAGTTTCACGACGTAGGTTGCATCCGCGGCAAGACCGTGCAACCCGAAAAACCCTGTGCGATGGAGTTCAGCTTCACCGTGGTGGCCTTTCTCGTGGCAGCCAGCTGCGCTGTCCTGCTGCACTTGAGCATGCGTTTGAAGAGCAACAGGGCGGAAGCAGCAGAGGCTGACCTTAATGCAAGCTCAGCATGTCTTTCACTCCTGCGAATTGCCGCTGGTCCTTTTTTCGATGGACTCCTCTTCATCGTTGTGATGGTGATTGGAGTATTGGTCTGGACGTCTGGCGGCGCAGCCGGGAAGATTGCCGGTGCACCAGTCGCTTGGGGTCTGCTGGCACTGCACTTGTCATGCGCATGGTTGTCCGGGCATGTCGAAAGGACATGTTGGAGAGCATGCAGTGTCGGATTATTTTGGCATCTTTTGGTGATCACATGCATGGTCAGCATGGTCCTTCCATGTGGCAGTGATGGAGATGTTCTCGGCCCAACGTGTTTGAGCCTCGTGATTGTTCCTTGCAGCGCAATGCTCCTGGACTACAAGAGCACTGTACTGTTAAGCCTGGTGAGCACTGGGACGGCAGCCTGCTGTCACGTGTCCACCTGGGCAGCACAGCCTGCGGGGCCTGGACGGCTTAAGAGTTCCAGCTTCGATTCTTTGGTGCTTGCCTTGATCTTGGATGCTGCGACATTCTTTGCGGCCTTTGCTGCCGCATCTGCTCTCCACTTCTGGCAACATAGCACTGTCCGCGAGTGTGCCATGCTTCGGGTGCTAACGGCCCTTTCCGATGCACAAGTCATGCTCGACTCCAAGCTGTTAATGCTTGACCCCAGTGCGAAGTTCTGTGACATTCTGCGCATGGATGCTTCAGATGTCAAGGCTTTGCAGGTGTTGTCATTTCTCAGTTTTCTGCACGACGAAGAAGAACGACTCAAGTTCAAGACTTTCCTCGAGAAGTCTTGTGCAAGGAGCCAGGTATCACCAGCGGCCGCTATCCGTCTCTCCATGCGAGATGCGGCCGACCAGCGTATTGAGGTTGACGTGTTCCACTCTCCAGCCGGCAAAGATAATCATTTGCTGGTGCTGCGAGAAGTCAGCAGCCACTTGCGTGTGGACACATCGGACAACATGCCCACAGGCCTCGATGCGCTTCCGGCTGTTCCCGACATTCAGAGTACGAGCACTTGTTTGTCCAGGACTGTGACAGGCAGCGATGTTTCGTGCTCGACTGTGAGGGACCTGCCCGAATTCGCGAAGCTTGTCCTAGATGTAGACGTTTCGACCAGCAGGCTTGCAGTCAAGACTGCAACGCTGAACTTCTCAGATGAGGGTGACGTTCTGTCCTTTGTGGACTATCTGGAACCTCGTGTTCGACGGCCATTTACAGAGTGGTTGAGGATGCAGGCTGCCCAACAGAACGTCAAGGAGCCTCATGTGTCGGAGATTTCAAAAGTCTTTGGCAGGCCACTTGATTTCCAAGTGTTTGGGACATCCAGTCGGATGAGATCCATGCAAGTTCGCTGTGTGGGCCGAACATGTCCAGAGGGTCAGGATGAAAGTGGCAGTAATGCGACACAGACTCCCACTAGCACTCTCGTCGGCGATGAGACCACTGGAGAAAGCGATTCGGAACTGGATGCTTTGCAACGACTCGTTGATGAAGGTTTGGCGGACCTCGATGGTCTTGAGGAGCTCCTCGCAACTCAGGAGGAAGCCTTGGCAAGACGCTGCCTTCAGGTGCAGGCAAAGATCCAATCCTTGAAGGCGCCGCAACCAACTTGGACAAGAATTGAGCTTGAGCAGTTCGTGCAACAGATGTAGAGCATGGTAATTAGCCAGGGAGCTTTAGCCCGGACAGTACATGCAGTACTGTAGCAAGCGGAATGGTACTTCCATTCGTGCGTCCATTTTCTTCGATGGTTTCATTCGTTGAGAGTCTTTCCGGAGGCAGGGGCTGCAGCTGCATCCCTGCAATGGACATCCGAACATCTAAGTTCTTCGAATGTGTGCTGCAACATCCCACAATCGCTGCCTCTGGTTCTTTTGGTGTGTTTATGATTTTTTGCATCTCAGCAGTGCGCTTCGGTGGCCTGATTGCAGGGTCACGGCCCTGGTGTCAGGCAACATCTCGGCTTTTGCATTGACATACTTGCCCATCGCTGATCCAGGAGCGAAACAAGAGCCTACCCATCACGGTTTAGGGTTTAGGGATGTTTAGAGTTTAGGGCCTAGGATGGCTTAGGGTTTTGCATGTCTCGGCCAGCTTCGTGAAAGGTTGGTGGAGGCCTTCTGTGGTGGGCGAACCGCCTTCGAAGGCATTCGCCCGGCGCCCTCGGCTACAGAGCAGACATGGTGGAAATTGGTTAAAAGCTCCCATCGTGGACGGTGCAAGATAGTAAAGGGTCATGTAGCTATTGGCGTGGAGCTCGAGAGCCGACGAGACCCCCAAATCACTAGTTCCAAAGGACCCGTCCACATGCTCAGGTGCACCTTGCAGTGATTCTGGACCAGATGTGGGCACTGCAACTTGCCAGAATGTTCCAAGCCAGCACTTCCTTTCAGCGTTACTGTAGCTCTGCGATTTTCCTCTCTGTGGCGACGGGGATAGGCTTTGGCACTCCAGAACTGATCTTCCAACCTCGTTTGGGCCTCCTGGATGTGCCCCGGCCAGCTTGTGGAGGCAGGCACTGCTCAAAGCCGGCGCCAAGCTGGAGGGCTTCGTCACGGAGGCCCCTTGCAAAAAAGCGACTCCAATGAGGCTGCGAAGCTTTGCTTACAAGTTAGCGCCTTCGCTTCATGGAAGCCCTGCAGGTGCTCTTGGACCCCATGGAGAATCCCAAGCTTTGCGGCTTGGAGATGGACCCGTCGGCTTCTGCAGTGCACTTCGAGTTAGCTGAACACTTCGCTCAGTTCCCGGGGCCCATCAGAGTGTTTCAGGGTCCAGGGTCAGGCTGCAATCCTCCAAAGCCTGAACTCTAAACCCCGAAAGCGGGGAGTCTGATCAGCAGGTACCCCAATGATTGCTTAGGGCTCCTTGTATAGTAAGGACCCTGCTTGGAGGATCATGGAAGCTAGCAAGTAAGGTTCAAAGTACCTTAACTGAGGGTAGAAGCACAAGTATTTGCAACTACAGTTACCTTGTTTGAAGCTTTATAGTTAGTAACTCCCATGATCCTTCAAGTACCAAATTTGCAACGAGCTCGCTTCAGGACCTGGCACTCCTGTGTGTGCGATGTGCATCTCTGGAAATGCTGCGGGATCTGCGCGACGAGGGGCTCCTGCCAGACGTGTCACTGGGCCCATGGCTTTAGGGTGTTCAGGATTTCTAACCCAGGGCTGAGGGATGCTGAGGAGTTTTGGGTTTACGAGCTCAGCATTTAGGGTCTAAGGCCAAGGTTTTGCGGTCCTGAGCCCATGGTAGGTTCTGCCCGAAGACTTGCACCAGGAGGAGTGCAGTCATGGACAAGCCTTGGAGCACAAATACTCGATGGGGCGCCCACAGAGATTGCCCCATGCTTTCATGCATTTTCGTCATCCAATGTTTTTCGTCCACCCAAACCCCCATCCGACTACCAGAGCATCCATGTGCACGTCCACCAAGACGGCATTCAACTACCATCATGCATGAACGAGCCGTAATTTGTGTCGCAATGCGTCCAAAAGTTCAGGAGACACACACACGCACGCACACACACACACACACATGCGTGCTGGGAAGTGCATGAAATTGAGTGGAAAAGGAGTAGTCTCCAGTATCTTTGACTAACCGACTTTAATACTTAAGAGTGAGCTCGTGCAAAAACTCGCATGTTCAGTGCATTCCCCAAATGGGCCAAATACGCGAGCCTAACTAACCTAGCTGGCTGTCGGGGATTGGACTTGCCAAATTTGCAGCACCACTCAGAAGCTCTCAGAGATCTCACGGCGTTGGCAGACATTAGACCAGAGAAGATCAGACTCCTGTGATCAAGGAACTACGCAGCAGCTTTGACTCCAGACATCACGCCGCCTTTCTTTCCTTGGAAGGCCGTGCAGCGAGAGTGAAGGTAGAGTTCCTTTTTTTGAGGCCTAAACTGAGGTGCTTGACTAGGCCAAGCCATGTGGTTGGGTGCAGAGACCTCTGAGCTGGCGAGCTTGATGCAATGAAGACCATACCGCGCGGCAGAGTAACTGAGTAACTGTATCTTTCAGACATGAAAAGCTGCTCCGGTGGATCAGGTGGAGGAACGGACGTTGACGGATCCGCTGTGGGCCTGGGAGGGCAGTGGCACTCGGAAGAGCAGGAAAGTCGTTGAAACCATACACAAACAATTCTCTGGTGTGAGTAATGCTTGCGCGACACCTGCAGACTGCGTCATTGGCACAACCACAAACTCTGAAGCTGTTCTTCTCAACTGCCATCAGGTCTGGCACCTCTTCATCTGGCGCTGCTGCTGGGAAGGAGCGATGTGGCCCTGCTGTTGGTGAGGCACCCCACGTGGCACATAAATAGTGTGGGCTTGTTGTTTTCGGGTGGGACGGGTCGCTACGGATTTGTATTCCTAAATGCGGTCCAATTCTGTCTTCTGTGGGTAGAAGGTTTCCAGGGCTTGAGAATCCAGTCTGACTCGGGGCACCGGCTTCATAATGCAGCATCCGTCGCTGCGTTAGACAGTCTCAGCCTACCTTGAGAAGAACACTCACTTAGGGCGTCGCGACGACTCACAAGCCCTTCAACACGAACCCAACATCCCAGACTCAAGCATTCGAGCATCAACTACCGGGGCGCGCATGGGGCGGCACGTCGACGAAATCGTGGACAGGCTCGGTGCCAACCTTCTGCAGCCGGTCGACCATGTTGCCATCGAGGCCACCTGACCGACCTTTTTGGTCAGTGCCGCCGTGCAGCCAGTTTGCCATTTACCTCTGAGCCGCTGCGCTTGGCAGCAGACTCTCGTCAGACAGGCTCCATGGCACTACTCGGTGACGGACAACTGTTTCAGAGGCGCTGGCCGGAGTTCAAGCGCTCCAGGTTCATCTAGGTATCCGCTCGGTATGTGCATGGACTGGCAGGAATCCCTTCCACCCCATTGCTCGAGGATCAGAGTTCAATAGCAAAGCAGTACTATTTGGTGTTTCCTCTGAGTTTCAACCAGAAGTCGCTGGTTTCTGACGGAAGCCCGGGAGGTTTGACTCCATTGCATTTATGCTCCTTGCTGGATCAGAAGGCAGGTCGGGCGTCTAGACCGGAAGCTTGAACCTCTCTGCCGCAGAAGGGATCCAACGTCACCTGCACCTTCACGTCTCTTCAAAACCATCGGATCTCTGCAGTCGAGTCCGGAAGGCCACTGCTTCGGCACTGTTGGGAGAGGCGAGTGGTGATGCTCCCTGGATGGCATGCAAAATGCTGACGTGATTTTGTCCTCAAGAGACACTCCCGGTAGGAATGCTGATGAATGCCGTGTGTGTGCGTGCGCGAAATATCGGAGTATCAGTAACAAGACCGTGTCAAGCTCGAAACTGTGTGTCTTTTGGGATGTGGTGCACACCAAGCAAGGCTTTAGGCATAGACTTGCCTGGTCTCCCCCAGCCAATGTCATGTCGCACCTATTTTTTTGGTCCATTCCTGATAAAGGTGCTGTTTGTCTTCCCTGGAGAGAAGCGGGCACCGCAGTACAAGGATGGGATGGGGCACAGAAGCCATCCCTGCGCGCACACTGCATGCTACAATGTACCCCCAATCCCCTACTCTAAGTATGAAGGCCCGTACATGACCCCTTCCAGCCCCCGCCGCTCAGCCTCGGTTGCAGGTTGCAGGTTGACCAGACATCCGGATCTCCCCTTCCACCGATATGCATGGGGTAGATGTTCGGAGTCTTGAGCGAGTGGAGGATCTGGATATTGAGGACCTGTATCTTATTATCCTTGTCCAAAGACGAGGCTAGGATAGAAGTATAAATCGAGCCCCTGGCCATGAGTCAGACATCCCATGAAGAGTCACAAGCTGGAGCCCGTGTCTCTTGTGTCGGTTGCAGGAGATGCTCGGCGCTGTGTGCCGCCATGTTTGGGCAACCCTCGACTCCAAGAAAGGCTCGGACGAGGCGCCGCCAAACCAGCCTGCTCCCTGAGGTGTAGCCGATCGGCGCTGCCTGCTCCATATTCCTCTTTGGCTTTCTCTTATTGCTCCTTTTTTGATACCTGTAGTACTGCAGTTGCTCTCAGACTATGCTAGTGCCCAGGAGGAGCCCTGGCTTTGGCGCGATGTCACGCCACTTCACCTCGCCTTGCTGTACAAGAGCCGCTCGCCGAGAAGAGAACGGTTCTTCAAGTTGATTCCATGGTGTTCAGAATATAAGTATGCAACGAGAAAAGCGCAGCTGTTCCTGTCTGTCACGGAGCACAGAAGAGGTGTTGATTTTCTGGCGTTTGCCTGGTTCGCTAGTGCAGAGCAAGCGAAGCTCAGGTTACGTGACAGCAGAAGCCCTTATCGAGGTGGAGTGGAGTCCAGGATTCCATTTTCGACTGCAGCGGCGAACAGACGTAAATTTCGCTACTGCCCGACGGATGCGACAGTCAATGCCATCTTTACGCCGCTCCTCGTTTCTAGAAGTTGAAGCTTGCCTTTGAGAGGCATCAACACCTGACACATTGGATATCCTCTGCAGCTGCAAGGAGCCGCAATGCCAGCAGTTCAGAAGTGCGCTGCATTTGTGAAGTGGATGTAGTTGACGAGATTTGTTCATGGACTCATCGGTGAGGACGTGGAGAACGACTCAGAGACTTCGAGCCATGTCATTTATCCATTCGGGTGGCCCTGGGTACACACGGGGATCCCTTTTTTGGAGACGAAGATCAGATACTGGTAGGATCCTCACGATAGGCTACCAAGATTCCATCTCTCCGCAAGCTGGGGAGACTGGTTAGTATCTCCAGCAGTAGCTGACATTGAATTGAGCTTGGTCATTCAGCTTCATGAATAAAAGGCGAGGCTGTGTTCGTAAGATTCGAACGGGTCGGCATTGGATGTCGAAAACTGCGTGCCTGCGCGTGATTCATGTATGGTTCCTCCAATCCTTGGGCCCGTCTGTCGGGCCCGACTAGACAGCCCCGAAGAGTTCGGCCATCAGAGGTTCAGCGCCCTCCTCCTCGCCTTCGAACATCGTCAGAAGGCCATCGAAGATGGATGAGTCCTTGACCCAACTTAATAAGCCTGTATATGAAAGGCACTTCATCGCCAGATCGCGAAGAGGCAGGGAGCAGAGGGGGGCTGCCATCACACTTCACACTCTTCCCAAATCAGAGGCCCAAACCCACCATGGCACAACCTCCACAGAAGAAGCACCAGGCCATAGCCCTCAAATAACAGCGTATACAGCTGAGAGGCGTGTCGCAACTATGTACTTTCAGGATCACAGGCATCTTCCAGGGCTGGAGCGCAGCTCATGCATGAGTTCCTTTGTTAGTAGATCGGCTGCATCTAACCGGAGATGCCTTCTATTAGGTATAAGTTTTAACCATCCTATCCACATTCCTTCCGAAACTTTCCCATGCCAGGTGCTGCTGATGGTGAGATGACTCCCGGAATGGAACGAAGAGTAAATGTCGGCCAAACTGGACCGTTGCAAAACCACTTCACATCTTCGCCATCGTACAGTGAACAATGATGGCTCGAACGAGACGAAACCCAAAATAGTCTACGCCGGCTGGATGTGGCCCAATGTGGCCTCTTTCCGGGTACCCCGAGTGTCACGTGGCTTCCAGGGAGCTGAACACACAGCTTCACGCCAACAGGGCGACGAGTGCTGGAAGCCTAAAAAAGATCCGCAGGGCTGCGACACAGCTCTCAAACTAGCACTGACTTGCTAAACCGATACATGATAGTTGGAAGATCCGATTTCGGATTGTTGGAGTTGGAGTTATGGAATACTGGAATGGAAGTTTGGATTTGGAATCACGGCATACTGGAATAGGCCAAGAATTTCTGATTTCAAGCCGAACTAGAGGAGAGGGCTGAAAAGCCTTTCCAATTGTGTGAGCACGAAGCCGGCCAACGTTGCTAAAGTACCTTTATTTGAAGAGGAAGTCCTGAGATTTGCGGGCCTTGGAGCAGTCTGAATGTCGCGGCCGATGCACATCTTCGCAACCAAGCCGTCATCTGCCTGCGTCACTGGACCACCTCAGCAGAAGGACGGTCAACCGTGCCTTGTGACGATGATCGCCGGAGCTTTACAAGCGGGTTATTAGGCCTGATCTACCCTGACAACATGTCGCATTCCTGAATCTTCCCAGAAGGCTTCAAAACTGATAACAACTCGGTAGAAGCATCCCTTGAAGGAAGGGTTCTTCATCTCAGCTCTCCTAAACGTCCTTCTGACCCTGCCTGGGAGCCCCATGCCGCCCTTCTGGGCTGCAGGGCCAAAGGCCAGGCGGGTTCAATTTTTGTATTATTCAGAAGGAAGGGGTTGTGACTTTTCCTGTAGGAATCATAGGGTTTAGGGCTTAGGGTTTCATAGGAATCAGAACTGGTTCAGTTGAGATGCTCACTGTGTTCAGTGGCTCGAGGAAGGCCAAGCTGAGGCGGCAGAAAGCTTGTTGAGAGAAGACAGGCTACTTGAGATTGGGACTCGACCGTTTGGATGCGCCCACCAACATTGATACCGAGGATTGCCGTAGCGAGCTCGACACAGGAAGCCTGCCTTGAGAATTGGTACACAATCGGCGAGTAGTTCCACGTAGTGTGCAGGTGCCTCTGTTTGGTGCAGTACTGTAGACGGAAGGATCAGGCAGTAAGTTACATACTGTCGTTGTCAATATGATGTCATCCTTTTCAATCAACTCGAAACCTCGCCGCGGTCCTAACCCTTGACCGGATGGCCCTTTCTTTCTACAGGAAGAGCCCAGCGCGGTACTCCTCGAGGACTATGCAGAGGACCCAGACGCAAAGCCGCGGCCAGCGTGGGTCCCTCAAAAACGTCCCTGCAGTCACTGGGCACTCGACGCGAATCGGATAGTTTTTGAGTGAAACACTGGTCCTCAGGGTTGAGGTGCTCAGAGGCCTCGCATGGCAAAGCCAAGTTGCGAAACCCCGCCGGTTGCCTGCAGTCTTTGGAGACTTCTGCCCACCTCTGGAAGCGGTCTGATTTCCCTGACTTGGGGGGTTGACTACTCAATCAAGGTTTTTGCTAAAACAATTGCCCGCAGTCCAAGATGCTGACTGGCCAAATCCCGGACGATGCAGCTCACGCAGCTCTCAGGCCTTCTCGAAGTAGCAGGGCGGCGTTTGCGGCAACGGCAGCACCGCGACGCCAGGCAGGGATCCAGGTGTAGGACTGCGGGTTGAGGCTCGTCAGTGAACAAAGGCTTGAGTGTCAAAGGAGTTGAGTCTGAGCGGCAAGACACATGAGCCTTTGAACTGACGAGGTGTTGGTGTCTGAAAATGTCTGAACTGAGTAGTCAGCGTAGAACTCCGTTCCATAAGTTGTTCGGAGCCTTGTCCGACAGAGTGAAGCTGACTTTGGATTCTGCAAACTTTGGATAGGTGTATCGGGTGCTGCTTCCATGGCTTGCAAGAGATGCGGTGTTATGTCAGAAGGAAGAGGCATGAGGCAGAATGTATCCATGACTTTGCTTGGATGCCTTACTTCGGACAGGATCGCAATACACTGCCTGCAGCTGTGGTGAAGACAGATCCACGGCGGGAGCGTGAATTTGCCAATCGGCAGTGGCCTTGGCTGCTGCCAGTAGCATGAACTCAGGGGCGCCAGGCTTTCGAGTCAGTGCTGCTCGAAGATTGGCGGATATCGATCAAGGATGGGCCTGAATCCCGTTAATTCGGCAGCAGCGGATTTTTCCTGGCTGTGCGTCACCGCTTCTCTGCTTCGGATCCTCGTCCTTGTCAGCCTCTCTGGTTCCTGCCACCTGCTCCCAATTGCGGTTGCTGTTGAAGGCTTGGCCAGGCCAGCCTTAGACTTACGAAGGTCGTAGGATTCAGGATGCTTGCAATTGCTGGGCACGAAAGACCACGAAACCCTGTGGGGCCATCCTAGAGCAAAGCCCTCAATCTCAGCCACACCCGCTTGCACACCAATGCGGTGCTAGCTTGCATGCTTTGGAGCCATGCGCTGCGCACTGGCAGCGCAGCTCCGAAGTACAGGCGGGGAACCGACTGCATTCTTTTCGCCAGTTTGATGCAGTTCCGTGCACCGCAGGACCAGCTGCCAAAAACAAGCTGAAGCCAGTAGCTTTCAGTTTTGTCGGCCGATTGTGCTGCCTTTCAGCTGCCGCGCGCCCGACGAGTCCCGGGAGACTGCACCCTACACGTGAGGCCCAGAATTTTCGGCAAAATGGCTGGAAATGGTCGGAGGTCTGTCCGAGGGGTTTCAAGATTCGGCAAGAGGCTTGTTTAGAAGATAGCTTTGGCACTTCAGCTTTGTAAAAGGCTTCAGATTCGAACTGAGAGGATTCTCTGCTTCAGAGTTCGATCTCGGGATATGCGCTCGGAAGGTTCATCATAAGCATCTTCACTTTGCACTGTCAAGGTCAAGGCTTTATAGCAGCCCGTGCACCCGACATAAGCTTTCCACGGATCAATGCTTCGCTTCATCGTGTACGGTAGGTTTCATTTGCGTCTCGTCTGGCTGTTGTCAGGCCCGCATCTGCAACCATCAGAGTGAGCGGCTCCGTCGTGCTGATGTTGGAAGCTGCCGCGACCAAGGGAGCTCACGGAGTCTCATCTGCGACTCGTGGGATCCTTGGGAGTGCCATCTGCAACTGCACGCAGCGAGTCTGGAACTGAGCCCCACAGGTGCTGCACCGAAAAGGTCACAGCAATGGTTCCCCGTCTGCATGGTCGGGATTTAGAATAAATTTGGGATGCAGATTTGCGCAGCGGCCAGAAGTTGGAAGACATCGTCAAGCTCGTTCAAAGCTGCCTCGCTATCCTCGTCAGTGAAGTTTGAGCAGTCGCAGTTCGGTTGTTGCGCAGCTCAGGACTTGACTTCTGCACTGGAAATCCGTTTGCATGAGGTGGGACTGCACCGAGCTGAAAGGTAAAATATGACAAGATCGCCCAGCGTCCTAGAACAACTGCACAGATGAAAGCTCAATAAAGCTCCTTGCCCACAGCCCATGTGTTGTTCCTCGCCTGTCGAGCTTAGCGCGATCAAGACTTTACCCTGTCAATGATCGTCGTTGGGCTAGTGGAAGCTCCGGCATTTGATCGGATGGGCAAGACCAGGCTGAGAGGAGGATTACATTGCTACTTCGCAGCGCCTCCACCTCAGCTCCCGGGACCCCCGCAGCGGCGTTCCGTGCATCCTTGAATCTCCTCAGGTCCAGTTCGTGGAAGAGCCATGTCCTTAGCAACCCTGACGTGTCAAGGCGGTGCGTTTTTGTTTCAGTCCATCCTGCAGTGTTGACATGTAGCTACACAAGGCTTCGCCACCTCTGCCGAAAGGACCCGACTCAGCAGAAGAGATCTCAGCTTGAATCCCGAGCTCCAAAAATGCCGGTGAGCCATAGGAGCGAGAGTGCCAGTGGGAAGCAATCGGCTCCATCGTGGTGCAACCGCCTTCCACGCCAAGGTGGACAGTCGGCGTTGAGAGGGGCATTCCAGGGCATGACTTGGCTTGAGACAGCTTTAGACATGAGCCAATTTTCAACATCGGCCCTCACCTCCTCACAAGCTGGCTTCTCTAGATTCAAGATTAGCTTTG